GCCGTGCAGTAAGTCTGGCGCGGTCGAATCTATCACTGCGAGCTGCAGGTCGTGGCTTGGTAGGATGCCAACCGACGGTATAACTCGGCCCTGAGGGCAATTTAACGGATGGAGGGCTGATGGAGACACCGTAGTGGCTCCTTCCCGATTTGGCCATGGTGGCGCGCTCACTGACGTGAGATCCGAATGACCCCTATTGTGGCCTGCTACAAGGTCAAGCGTTGTACGCGGGACTGGGATGTTTGGCCTTGTCAGTTCCTGCGCCTAATCCTATCACCTATTGGTTGGCAGGCTCTGACTGTCAAATGGTGTCGACACTGGGGAGACCATGCTCACGGTAGTGCCGCGCGCCCTTCACAATAGTACCTCTGACACCAGGCAGACACACCCCCACACCAATTGTCCGCTGCCTACAACATGTTGGTTCCACTCCGCGGACCACCTAGCTACTACTTAAGTAGCATGCGTTTTTCCTATTGATTTTCGATGGTCTTATAAATTCAAATATATTTTATAGAGAACATGTGCAAAAATATGTTTTCTTTTGCTCATTTGTTAGAAAATCACATTGTCTTCATATTTATGCCCGAAGAAAGCGTGTATTTAGGTTTTAAAGGAGTTTCCCAATCCCCGAATAATTTTCAGCCTGATCTGCCATTGCATCAGCGATTAGCAATTCCAGTCTACAAGGTGCATGCTTTCCGTGTAAGGAAAATCATATATTCCTCTATGTCTCTAAGACGATACCACATAGAGTTTGTGAAATTTTGCAATGGATCCGGACTATGTTGTACATCTCATGAGGAGCATTAGTAAACGGACATGTGCGGTCTTGCATGCATGGACGTCACACGGTCTACAAAATCTCATAGTTAAAAACGGCTTTAAAACCAAAATATACATTTTCTTCGGACATAAAATATGAAGACAATGTTATTTCCTACCAAATGAGCAAAAGCAAACATATTTTGTGCATGTTCTCTATAAAATATATTTGAATTTATAAGACCATCGAAAATCAACAGGAAGAATGCTTGCTACTTAAGTAGTCTTTTTTTTACCGAGTATGCTGTCTACAGGAGATTGAAAAGAAGTGCATTTAAAAGCCGACATCCTGGCGAGTCCGAAATGTAATAGGGTTATGCTGCATGATAATCAGTATAACAACCCCACTTAAGTAATCCTCTCAAGTCGGAAACGCATTCCAGAATTTCGGCCAACATTTCATGAGATCGGTCACGCACTGTATTTCTGGCCCTGGCTGAACTCGGCCAGTGCAAGCCTGTGCAATGGCCGTCCCTCTCGCTCTGGCGTAATGATACAGCCAACTGAGACCGTAGGTGGAAAGTCATGCACTGCACGTCTAGCCACCGGCTCTGTGTCCGATATGACCGTACACAGCAATTAGTTTAGTGGTCTACCGATAGAACTCTGTGAATAACGAGGCCTGGAAAGTAAATAACACTTTGTGATGCCACTGCTTCAGCCGAAGATATCAAAAAGGAAATGTTAGAAACAGCAGAATGTCAAGCATTTATATTATACACAGTGACAGTAAACAATTTGGATTATCTAAATTGGGCATTAATGTGGTATAAATAGTTACAAAACAGGTTCCTCCGGTGGAAGTCTACGCGGCAAACTGGTTCTCTTTCTCCTCCTCGGATACGGCCCTCGGTTGTTCCATCTGCAAAAGAAGAGGAAGATGAAAGAGATGTATAGAAAACAAAATCCAGATGAAGCCGCGAACTATTCCTATAGGCAGGGGGAGGAAGTGACCAACTCGCGCGTCAGTTTGCGTCCGCGTGTTTTTGGGAAATTCGGATCCAAACAAAGCTATCACGGCGACCACCGCCTCTTGCTTCGTAATTGTACCCCACAACGAGTCAGGCAGGAGATGAGCTGGACCAAAACGGAGATCAGACTATGAGACGACATGCGTTAACCCGGCTAAAAAGAGTCGTGCATCCCATGACAAATGCCACACACATGAGGGGTGTAGTGGTTTAGCGCCGCGCCATCTACTTGTGCTCCATGCCAGAATCAGATGACTGGCCGGTTCGGACAGTGAACTGCTACTGGTAAGAGAGGGTGAGTTCGACTCTGGGGACTTCGACCTCACGGCACTTCCCCTCACTATAAAAGTCTGACGCGCTTGCCTCTATTACGGAGCTCTAAAAGTTGCGATTTGGGAGGCTGCCAACTGCCAAGATACATCAGTACCTTCAGGATGGAGAGTCAGGCCGCGATAGCCCCTTCTGGATGTGGCCTCTACGACATTCCCATCCAGATGGGGGTACGAGTCGCCTGTCCTCCAAAAAACCTGACGTGTCCGCGAGACCAGGCCGTGTGCAGGAGGCGTAGATAGGCCATTTGACTTTGTTGGCCACTGCGTCGGACTACGTCTCGGGTCATTATGACACCGTCTTGTTACCGGGACCAGGTGGGTGGGGAAGAGAGAGTGCATGGAAAAAGAAAATCTGTCTACCTCGGAAAAAATGTGAACGACACCGATCTCCATCTGTGAAATATAGCAGCGATGCCTCTTTAAGTAGAAAAGTCGCGAGAATACGGTTTTGGTTCAACGCGCTAGCTGCGAGCCAGTTTCCTTGGTGATGAAAATTCGTTCTTAGGTCGGTCCACAAACGTCAATCGCGTCAGACGTTTGCCTCAAGGACAACCTAAAGCAGTAAATTCGTTGAAAATTCGTCCAAGTATACTAGTTTCGATAATCCCAATATATGGACAACATCCCTTCACGCGGTCGATCCAGAACATGAAAAACGGCAGCGCCCACTAACATTCCAACGATGACCATCAGGTTTGCTGTTAGTGCAAAAACACCTGACGGTTGTTTCCAAAAGGTATTTGAGAAGGGACCTGTTTCCAAAAGGTATTTAGAAGGGACTCACGTTTCCATATAAAAGAAGTTGATTTGTTTCGTCCTCTTGTTGTAGCATGAGCTGTTGGTTGTTGGCCTCCCATTCTACAACGAAAAACAGTAGGGACCATAATAAACCAATTCTTGGGTAAAATTACAGTCAGCAGTACTTAATAACGTGGTTACCACCAAATTCCTGATACACTGGTGAACGTGCAATCGAACAGACAGTATTGCTTAGGCCGCAATGAGACACTAGGGTATGCGCGACCTACATGGAGGATATTGCGGCTTCTTAAAAAACCTGCTAGGGAGACCTTTTAAGGTACTAGTTTAAAGAGAATTACAATCCAGGTCGCAAAGTCCTTCAGTTGTTACTCAGACATGCCAATACTTCAGGAGTCCCAGGGTGTTCCACAACAGTAATATATGAATCATGGATGTGCTAGTAGAGGAAGTCTTCAAAAAAGTGCTACTTAAGTCACCTGCTTGGTTCACGATGGCAAACTGGGGCTGTCCGTCTTCGCCCTGAATGAGGACCAGGGTCTGGCCGGCCTCCAAATGCAGATCCTCGGGCAGCACCAGACGCTGGATGACGTCACCGCCGGGTGTTGTGAAGTCGATGGTCGCGCCCTCAGGCAGTTGGCCATCTTCGCTGCTCAGTACCATTGGAATGCCGTTCGCACCGGCATACTGGGCGACGAGACCTTCGTTGGAAGCACCCTCGGGCAGGGGCTCGCTGAGATAGAGCTGGGTGTTCGCCATTTGGGCATTTTCATCCATTAGTGACAAGCCGCCACCCGTGGTGTACAACATGGCCGTTGCCTGCTGAAAAGAAATTGACAGGTACACGTACTCTTCCTAGAAGAGGGATGGTGGAAACTGCGGACTGCACGGTTTGGCAATAAGCGCCTGCCTTCTTTCGAATAATAATCAGCGGCAGTAACTCTAGGGAGGAGGCTTGCTAACTGGCACTCCGGGAAGCATTTACACGATGTTACATACGGCCGTCCTTGCTCAGCATACGTCCGCTCCCGAAGAAAGTGCCATTGCCCAGGATTTTGACCATAAGAAACCTGAAACACTTGAACTAGCACGACACGACAAAAGCTGTGGCTTGGCAGATTGTAAACTAACGGACAATTTGGTCCTTGGAAGTAAAGGTTAGGCGACGATTGCTTCTTCCCGGTGTGGTCTTATAACAACCGTCACCGTTGTGAAATCCGACTTGTGTGATTTGCGTGGAGTGAGAGACAAGCACGCACGAGATTCACGCAGACAGGATCTCGATGTCGAGTCAGCCATTGAATTCACGGCTCTCTCTAGCCACCAATACCTTACCCTCCCCTTGCAACTCTATGGGTGAGATCAGAGCTATTGTGTTCCCAACAAAGGTGCGTATCGGCCAGTCGATTACATGACGGATGTGCTCTAATAGTTATGCTAACTGCAAAACGAACCACGGGTTAAAGTGGACATCAAGCTCCCCAAAGAATCACCCAGCTGACGTTTCAGATGCAACCAATGGTACATGAAAACGGAATGTACAAAGCATGATTAAAAGATGTGGCGCTTTGTAGGAGTCACTAAAACAGCTAGCAAATTCTTGACTCCACCTAGAAAATTTCTTCGTCGTAATCGTAACACAACTACGACCTAAAAGTCCCAACACGCGTTTCGTCGATGTTTCTGTGGATGCATGGTGCAACTGAGGGGTTAGGCAGATTAGCGGGTTCTCCGAAGTCTACCATGTGGTGGGGGTTAGTTACGGTACATACAATAGGTGTGAACAGGATGAGCGTTCCCCTGGTTGATTTAAATACACAAAGTTCAGGGCCAAAGTTAGTGTGACCTGTCGAGAAGAACTTACTCCACGCTTGTCTGATACTTTCTGAGTACATGTGATAAACATTAAGTATTAGGCTGTCATTTTGGGGAACAACTGATGAGCTAAAGTATAAAGGCGCCACAATAAGTGCTGAAATTCATGGTGGAAGTGGTACCTGCTGCTGCTGCTGTTGTAAGAGCAACTGTTCCTCAGCTTGACGTCGGGCGGTTACAATTTCAGGATCCGGTTGAAGGGTTGCGCCTTCAGCACCGCAATCCTCAACCAGATGGCGAGCCAGCGTGTTTCCGTCAACACCGGAGAGTGCACAGCGTGGACAAGCGAAATAACCTTCATGAACAGGACCGACGGCTGGTTCTTCAGTTGTGGAGATGGCGCCCGGTTCCACTGGCTTTGCGACATCCGCATCCCGAACCGCTGATGAATCGTCCGATTGCACGTGTGCGGTATCCACGATCGTCGGCGCATTTTCTGCACCTACATCGATCCTCGAAAGGCCACCCGGTACAGCTTCTCCAGGCTCGGTGACCTGCGGCAGGACCTCAGCTGATGCAGCGGCCTCGGGGGCTGATGATTGGCCAGTGGCCTCTGTCATGTCCTCGTCCTGGTTAACACTGGTGATGGCAGAAACTTTCGCACCAGCAACAGCGGGTTCCGAAGAAGAATCCATCGGTTCGGCCCCAGCTTGATCCGTCGACTCGCCAGAGCTGGTGGCGACTTCCGCCTGACCCACCGGCAATTCCGGAGATAGGGCGGGCTTAATGACGGCAAGTGGCTCTTCGGTGTGCGGTTTTGTGTCCTCCTCTACCACAGGGAGGCACTGGAGCATCCAGTCGAAGGCCACCGGCCGAACCATTGGTCCACCCACATGCGAGTCCGCTAAAACTTCCGCGCTATAAAGATGGGTCCGGTGGACATGGCGTGCGAAACCGGCTGCGCAGCAGGTTGCGAAAACACAAGCGGAGCAGGGCAGATAACGTCTGAAATGAAAAGTTAAGTAAAGATAACTGAAAAGAATCGGACATCGAAATAGAGTAAAATGACCTCCACAAAGCTAGGCTGCAGTTAATAACGATATATAAACGGCTGTAGAATAAAGAGAAGGTTGTAAATTTGGGGTTGCGGTGTCCGTAGCAGAACAGCTGACTTTATCAACTTTGTCTAAAAGCAGGGCAGGTTTGCTTGGCGCCCGCAGTTCAAGAACCACTGTAGTTGTTGCCGACAGCTATAATGGTCACGTCTGGTGTCCTTGTTCAGGGCCTCAAAGTCATTCACCTTCGCCGCGAGTAGTTCCAGACGCCTCTGACCTGTAGCCACTCGACAGACTTCAACTCGGACGCACACAGTCGCAGATACCCATGCGCTCCTCAGCGAAGGCAACACACGCACCAACTGGACACCACTTGAGCTCGTCCCACAAACCTACAAAAGCAGCTACTACCACTGTCTCATGGACTCTCGGGCATGAGTGAACGCAGTCAACACGGCTTTGCCGGCGGCCGTAGTCGCCTGAGAGGGGAATTCAGGATCCTGTGTACAGTAAACCCCTCAGTCTGGTGACTTCTGTCTTCCTACAACTCGGTATCTGGCTTGGTGATTATGGCGCTCTGGACACACGCACACACCGCTCCGGCACTACAGGCGTTCACTTCTGTTGTAACGAAATCTACGTCCTTACCTTACTACTGAAATAGTCGCAGTTACCTTAGAAAATGCCTTTCCCCACAAAACCCGTGAAGAAATTTGTCCCATGGGGCATGTCTCCCTTGAGGCAGCGCACAAGTGCAAAAAGGTCAAAAATGCTTTACGGAAAGTACTATATTTAAGACTTTTGTGTTTAGTAGTGCCGATTTGGTGTATTTTGTCGTTAATTGTCAAAGTGAGTTTATATGACCTGATGACAACTGAGGCTTATGTACATAATAAATCCGACTGCCGTATTTTTCTACAACTCGGGATTTGGCCTGGTTATTTGGGCGCTCTGACTATACTCTGACCACGTAGACGCTACACTGTATCCCCTGTCTGGCCTGTTTCAGTTAAATCTCGACGTTTCTAGGGTGATCAGCCACCACTGCGAAAATCATCATCAAATACGACAGAAAAGGTATATAAAAAGATGCCCAGTGTAATTAGCAAACATGCGAAAGCTGCAGTTCCCTTTTCTTATTTAAGAAGGTAGGACACAGGAATGGTAGTTCGACAGACGTACTCGACGATGTCCACCGTGTGCTCCACAGTAGGGTGAAACAGACACATTGACTTGCGCAGCATCCACCGCACTCTATCCTACCTACCTAAGGTGGGTGTCAAAACATAGTCACGAAGACCGCACGGGCGCAGGCGGCTGGCACGGCCGAACCCGAACCTAGGCGTGCCACCACACCCCCTGGCCCACAACAAACACTTGACTAGGATTTTAACCAACAACAGCACCACAACAGATCTGAAAGACGAGGATGACTGGGCTGCCATGCTCACGACCTGTATAGTCAGCAGGAGCGCAGGCGCAGTCACCGGCAGGGAACTGGTGCCAAAGAACTTCCAGCGCATACCAGGCTGCGAGGGCCATGGTTTGCTGATCCTGGAATTGCAGACGCTTACATTCCTTGAGGCCTGGAAGCGTGGCAAACATCCCTGCACTCAGCCTGGGCCATCACCCTTCAAAGGCTGGGTAGCCAGTCAGTCTTAGACTGGCACTACTCATAAAAGGACACAGGAATATGTATCCCCTCGTTTTACAGGAGGTTTTTGAGCTAAATTCCAGCGAGCCGGGATATGGGAATAGGTACCACTCCTCCCCCTTGAAATTCGGTGCCAGACCACCCGTTATAAAGGAGGAAGTACCTATTCCCGTTTCTAAGCTTCAATAATGCCCATCCTTCTTAAGGCAAATAAGATAATCTGTGTTTGAATAGGGATAAGAAAGGTCGATCTCAAACGCACATCTTCTCCCAACTACATTTCGGTGGCAAAGAACTAGAACTGCTGGAAATAAGTGGAGATGCAGCGACTGGGTAAGCAACAAGCTCAGGCCTACGCGTGCAAAGGCACGGTTGATTCCTCCCTACAGACTAAACTGTGCACCAGGTGAAGAATACTCCGATTAACGTTCATATGATGTGGCCGCTAGTCAAAGCAGTTAGGGGGGTGGGGAGATTACAAAGTGCAGCTTACTCTACTGGAGAGTAAGGTGGGGTGTGCGCGGAGTGACTGTCCCCTGCAGCTAGGCAGTTGCTGTCATTCCGCCAGACCAACTTCTAGCAGAGTAGGATTACCGACAAGGGAGACTGGATTGGCCAGTTCTGGCTTATTAGACGTCGTCAGCCGGTCATACCCAACCCCGAAGTGTGGAACACTTGGGGCTCGATCCCACGACCTGTTGGTTAGAAGTCCAACGCCTCTAACTACTGAGTCACGGGCTCGTTGCCCTGTCGGTTGAGATACCATGCGCTGCTGTTTGGCTGCTGGTTGGGCTCGAGAGAGCCCTAAGGCAAAACGGGACGAGTGAGTTCCGTAAAAACGATCGGCGAGCGCCCTCTATCACGGACTAACTACTCCTCCACATGCGTTAGCCATTGCACAAGGGCACAAAGATATGCACATTTAAGGACCACTGAAACACACTTACTTATGGTCGTCAGAGGCCAAACTATCTCCGCACTCTAGGCAGGACATTGAGGCAACTTCTGGCGGGAACACAATATTTGATAGATCCTTTGTCCGGCTCGGTTCCGGTGCATTTAGCAGTATCACCCGGTTTTCCTGTTCTTTGGACTCTGCAGCAGCAGCAGCAGCAGCGGCGGCGGCGTCAGCTGCTGCCGCTGCTGCTGTATCAGCCGACTGGTCCGTCTCAGCTAATCCTTCCTCCTGCTTACTCGGTGCGGGCTTCGAGGAGGTCATGAGCTGCCCGCATGGTTGTGGTGTGGACTCCAAATTCTCCGCCTAGAAGGTAAAGTATGCAAGAGGTGATTAATCAACAATCCGTTCAGCAAAAGCGACAAGGACCTCTAGGCTACTGGGAGAGCTGTCGCAATTTGCGCGATGATTAGATCACAATGAGACGGAGACTTGTGGAGCATCGGTTTCATTCTCCTTCATAACGTCCAGCATGGGCAACTAGGATCGGGGATGGACCTGGGCGCAGTCGCTGAGCTAACATTTCACTCCAGTCCCCCGCGTGTGCCGGTTCCAAAACTAGCGTGAACCAAAGCGAAAGATGCCACGAGCCACTCAAGCCTGGTCTTCGGTCGGTAGGACCGACTTATTTCTCCAGACGCAAATTGTTCAAGCCACAAGGTCTAGGGTGTTATGATAACTGAACATCACGTTAGATTTGTTGTGGTGAAGGCAGGGAGCGCAGTGGATCCCACCCCCCCTCTCTCTCTCTCTCCTCTACTCTTCTCTCGCGTGTCGTGTACAAGTGACAAGATCGAGTCGGGCTGACTGGAGATGAGATCGATGCGGAGACTGACCAGAAACTTGAAGCAAGTAAGGCGACATCATCGGAATAGTCGAGATCAGTCAGTCGGTGTCCGGGAGCAAACTCAACGCCGTCACCCTCGTGTAGGGTCCTCCCGAGGATCCAGTCAATAGCACAGTTGAACAGAATGGGTGACAGGATACAACCCTGTCGAACGCCAGGCCGAATACCGAACGGGTGGGAAAGATTGTCGCGAACCAGGACTCTCGCAGTAGTGGAGCGATAACAGGCCTTGATCATGGCGATTATTTTTGACGGCATACCATCTAGCGTCATTATCCGCCACAGGGACTCACGACGAGCGGAATCGAACGCGGCGGCAAAGTCAGTGAAGCAGACGGCCGTCGGTCTCGCTCCCTCTTCTCTCGCGTCTCATGTGACAAAGTCGAGTCAGGCTGACCGGAGATGAGATCGATGCGATGACTGATCAGAAATTTTGTCTCCGTCTTCTGCATGCTACCAACCTGCTGGCCTCTCATCACACATGAACCAGTCTTTATTCTGACTCTAGTCCTACACCAGACTGCTTGGTCCCATTTTAAGTTTGAGCTGCAGTGACACCTATCTTAAGGGCCAAATTCAGACGCATGAGGGATAAGAGACAACGGTCGAAAAGCCCTAGCAACCTGTAGTCAGAAAGCATGCAAGTAAGTAGACAGAAGACAGCGTAACAAAGTGATGTGGAACAGATGAACTGGAAAGCATCATGTTTAACGTTGATAAACCTACCATGTACTCATCGACACGCCGCTCCTGGGTCTCCGCGGTAGAGCCAACGCAAGCCTTGTGATCCAGACGCCGGTGAACCTGATAGTCCGACTTATTTGTAAAGTTCAGTTTGCAGGAGAGACAACGTCGCAGTTGGTGGCGCACCTGATGCATACGCAGGTGTTGCAGGTAGACCTGCGTCTGACCGACGCCAGCTCCGAGACCAGCAGTGCTTACGGCGCCTCCACTGATGGATGCCGCGGAGAGCAGCGGCAGACCGGGGACTCTCGCATCAGATGGCGTAAATATACGAAGACAGTAGGTGCAGAGAAGGTGGTTAGACCCATTGTGTGCCTGGATGGGTGGGGAGGAATTGGAAGAGTGGGGTATAAAGATGGTAGGCAATCTCTCATAGGATGAGCGACAAAAAATCTCAGAAGGTGTGTATGACGGATTCAGACTACTCAACAAAGTTATGGGCAGCCGGCAGTGAAGGGCTCGCCTGCTGGCTAGAACAGAGAAGTGGCTGGGCCGATAAATGACCCCAAAGCAGGCTGTCACGAATCTGACAGCCGTAATTCCTTCTGGTAATACCTTACGGTAATACCATTCTGCCTATATCAAGGGCCGCTGTGCGGCTGCTGGTAAGGCTCGGGAGAGAGCCCGTAAGGCACAACGGAACGAATGAGTTCCGTAAGAACGATCGGTGAGCGCCCCCTACCACTGTATATTCCCGATCGAAACCGAAAGGGCAACGGGCTCGTGACCCAGTGGTTAGAGGCGTTGGACTTATAACTAACAGGTCGCGGAATCGAGCCCCACATGTTCCACACTTCGAGCTAGGGTACGACTGGCTGACGACGGCTAATAAGCCAGAAGTGGCCATTCCAGTCTCCCTTGTCTTTGCCGGTAATAACATTCTTCTGGTGTGAGTTGGCATCGATCTGGCCGGTCGGTGCTCTGTAGGAAGCTCACGAACTAAAGCGACCCAATAAAATGGCGAATTCTACCAGTAGACAAGTAGGATTTCGGCCGCGGCCGCCGCCATCATCTACCACGCCAAGCGGTAGATGGGACTTGAAATACCTCCTGTTCCAAGTCCTTTAAACTTCAAGAAATTCAGTAGCTTGCGAGTCACTTTTGTGCTGTAATGAGCTCCCATCACACCAGCCCGTGGTGCTGTGGTCATTGCAGCGAGCCAAAGCGATGGGATGGCCGTTGCAATTATCAAAAAATATGGAAGCAAAAATTCTTGTAGTTTATAAAAAAATGCTAATTCGGCTGTTACAAGGTCACAGCGGCTTATAACGCGAAACATTTATTTTCTTGGCACAACAAACTTAACTCTACTGGACATCCACCAAGGATGCTGAGACTTCGCTGCCATGACACTGGGATCTGGTGGGTGAGGGAGAATGTGCTAGACGTGGCGCAAGCTTACTGTCGCTGTAAACAAACTCATACGCAAATCACCGTCCCTGTTCTCACTCTGCTGTGGAGCATTGCCAGAAACGACGGTTGAATTGTCGAAGTTCATTCAACGCCGATTCATTTATGCAATCTTCAGGATACGGGCAGGCGGGAAGGAAGCGCTGCACGCAACCTAAATGCAGCACATTCAATCGTTCCCGGTAGTGCCTGTGGTCCTATCATGAGATTTGGGACATAAAAGCCAAGGGCTCAGAGGTCATAGGACTCCGCGGCTAGGAAACATGGCCGCTGCGTGCAGTTTGCCCGCAACAATTCGAGATTTTAACAACTGTGACCTAAGGAGGGTACAGCGGTTTGAAGGTGAAACCCTACTACCAAACCAGGAGTGGGTCGGCTGATGAAACTGTGAGGAGTCATAGTCTCATAGAGTCCGGATACGTATTCCGGCGAACTATCTCACGGGCTGAATCCCTGTCTGGATTGGTGCCGCCCGCGCGTTAAATGATTTAAATGCAGGAGGATGTTGTAGACCTAGAGGTAGAGTGGACGCTGGGAGCGCGAAGGATTTCGATATTTAATGACGGAACTTAGGGCGGACAAGGACTGTCGTAGGATTTCAGGGCACTAGCAACTACGGCTCGTAGATCTGGAGGCAGTGGAGGCGAGTAAACCACTTTCTGACAGAAACGCACGAAGAAAAGAGGCAGTATACTCATTCCACCGTTCTCTCAAAAATGACGCAGTTTGTTCCTCGGGGTGAAACTATCATCTTAAAAGGGAAATATTATCCTATCGAGGGGGAAAAGAGGTCCTCAAAGTAACCAGCCAGTTTCCAATGCAGCATGGGTGAAGGCGACTGGAAATGCTAGAGAGTCTTATGACTAGGATACACTAACGGCGGACAATAAGGCAAAGATCTGTACCTTCTTGAAGTGATCCAGTAGGTCCTCAAATAGCGACGAGCGGAATAAACACAGGCGACAGACGTAGGGCATCTCACGTTGACGGTGTGTAGACTGTAGATGATGAGCGAGGGCCAGGTCACTGGCCGCCTCTTTACCGCATATTCGACAAGAGAAGGCGTTGAAGACCCCCTGCAGAGAATTATCGGCTTCGCTAGTCTGGGCATTGGGATCAAGCAGGCCGAGACGCTGTTGCTGTTGCTGCTGCTGCATAATTTGAGAAGCGGTCTGCTGAGAATCGGAGTCTGATTTCGTCGCATTCAATGGGTCAGCGTGGTTGACGCCAGGATGCTCCTAGTGGGGGTAATAGGAAACGCAATCAAAACATGGGCTGTAAAACTGCGATGATTGCCTTCTTGATCTATGTCACAGGCGTCTAGTAAACATGGGGCTCCGTGCTTTAGTTCAGACGCAATAACTGTGTCATAGACACTAAACGGAAAAGTGGGTGGTCGGAGCCGAACACCAGGATTACCACCAACAACACCGCTACCGTTCATCGGAATCAATCTTACTATTAGTACTGTGGGCAATTAGCACAGTCAGTACTGTAATTATTTGAGAACATGGATTTGACGCTTTGTGGCTCGACTTCAAATCCCATCGATCACACAGCGTCAGAGGAAAAGTACACAAAATTGAGACCATTGTAAGCATTCAATGGACGAGAGTGGCAGGTAAGGTAGAGGAAAGAAACCGGACACACACACACACACACACACACATCATCATCATCATCATGCGTCGTTGGCCCTATAGAGCGGCTGAACGCGAAGTCCGTACATTGATGAGCGCCTACGACCACAACACGGCAGAACGCCGGTGATTTCTTCGGCACTACTCGCTATAGAGAGCCACGATTCGTTGTCTGAGCACGACAGCAAACATTTTTGGACGTAAAGTGTACAACTCGCATGCCGCCTGTTGTTCTTCCGAAGATGTCAAACAAAGAAAATTGTGGAGTCGCATTGGCGTGGAACCATGCTGCTACTGACCAAGTTTTCAAGAGCCCTCATGTGGCGGTGGTTCCAAAAGAACAGCTCCTCGAACCGTAACCCTAACCCTAAGTCTCCTAGCCACAACCCTCATAAGCCTGTCCCTAATCCTAACTCGCTGGAAGTTGAAGCGCCTATTGTACTTCCGAATTTGTAGTGTCCTTTAAAGTGCTGAGTGCCAAGGTATGGTATACTTTCGAGAACTCATATTCGAGAGAAGGTGACTTTCTCCAAAAGGTCAAAAGATGCCAAAATTACCTGTGTCCTTTCTATGAAATGCAATCGAGTCTTTGCAAGTATCAAGCAAACACATGAGGACGTGCACTACTTAAATGCTGGTTTCATCCTCACCGTCATTTAGGCAGGATTCTGGAAAAGTTGTCTGTCTAGAGGTCACATCCTGTCGTGTATAAACAGCCCCGACAGTACCGTCACCTTTTTCTGATGTCTTCGATTTAGAAGACTTCGGATAGTGAGTTTCGGCGCCTTATCTACCTCGTCCCCTTAGCAGTTAAAATAAGGCATTCATTCTGACGGTTAGAAAAACCGAATAATTGAATCATACAACATTCAAACAAGAATCCATGCCAGTGCGGGGTAACTAAATCGACATAAGTCCGCCTTGTATCATTTGTAAAATTTTTGTCTCCCCTGCACAACCGCTGGAACCCTTTTTTCCAGTGTCCACCTTACGAGGTAAAGAGGTTTTTTCTGGTTTACCGACCTGATGTTGTTTTTTGTAAACTCCAAATCCTCAAATCCCTTAAACAGAGTACTCTGTCGACATGTAGTTGAGTGTTTTTCCTCTCTGAAAACAATCCGTTCGGCAAAATTGTTGTGGAGCCTTATCAGCTCAATTCGGTCTAAATCAACGAGTTTAGGGTCTGCTGAGTGTCTGGACTTCTACAATCACCAAAACCGCCGCCGACGGCTAGTGAAACGCAAAACAAGTACTCAATTGAACGGGACGGTCACTAGCAACGGGAAGTAAGATGGATACAGGATGCCACATAAAGTTAAATTGGAACATCGGGTAGGGAATTCAAGCCCAGTTACAAGAAGTTAACCTGACAATTTATTGGCCTCTTTTCTAAATCAGGGTAACTGGCCAATTCACAATACGCGTTTTGTCAAAGACTGGAAAAAATGGAGGTTAAATAACTCACTTTCTCTGTATGAGCCCTCAATTCAAAGGCATTGGCGAAAACGAGACTGCAGACGCGACACTGGTTGAGTGCAGCAAAATTAAGCAAGGGCTGGATACTTTCATCCACATGTCCCATTATGTGGTGCATCAGCTTGACGTTTGAGAAGAAGATACGTTGGCAAACCGCGCATTTAAACCGATACTCGGCTTTCTCTTCAATGTAGTCTGCGGCCCCTTCTTGTCTGCCATAGTAGTACTCGTCGATCGGGACCAATTCTGGCGAAAAAACAGACGTATCTGCTTTAAAATTCAAACATAAACTGATTCGAAGGAACAGAAATTTCTTGTCGACCCCAACGCCTTGCGTCCATCCGTCCTCTGTTGGTCTACATTAATTTTGGTGGCGCAAGGTAGCAAAATAAGTCCTGTTGAATTTACTTGGTTAAAGAGAACGACGATCAAGACTTCGCGTGGGGTACATTATCAGAATCCCGTCTACTGTTTGATTGATTGGGTCTGTGCACTTGAAAATACATCTTGGCCGGAGGGGTGTGCAAACAAAGGAACAAAATTTTAGGGGGAAAATTGACCAATTTTTTGAAAGTGGGTATTGGGGTAGAAAAGATGGCGTTCACGCGTGGCAGATTAGTAATCCCAAGTGTGTGAGAGAGCGCACTTCTTCCAGACTCACAAAAACTAGAATTACCTAGACTAAAAAGCCAAGCTCACTCATTTTCGCGCTGTCTGTTATACCACACTTAAGGACCTGGCCCATTGCATTTCTAAGTTGGATTGAAATTATAATATAATGGATGTGCTAGATTGCATTAAGACTGATTCGGCACAGATAGCTCGGGACGTTCGGCTGAGGCAGCGCATAATGACATTAGATGTCACCAAACAGCCCTCAATTGCACGTTTTTCGCAAAAGAATTTTGTGACGGGGGCGTGTGATCCGTAACACTTAAAGATAATGGACCGTTCATTGAAAATAAATTATTGAAGGGCACATGCAGGAACGCCAGCACATGGATAGGAGGCGATACCTTCAAGAAATGGAGTTGGGAGAAGTCAAACTAGCGGAAATAGTTTAGTAAAAACGGCATTAGCTGTCAGGGTTAGTTTTAACTTGAAGCAACGCAGGCGATCGCAATCAAGGTAAAGAGTTGAAAGTCGCTCGCCCGGCTTTGGATATTTCTGAACTTTTACATTTCTGATCGTGAACGCACAGCTCAAGTACTAAGGCCTCGGGCCAAAACCTCGTGTCTCCCCAGAGGGGCTAGTGCCGACGACGACAAATAGCTAGGAATCGCCGTTGCAGTCTCCCTAGTTCCTGCCGCTAATAGCTGGCGACTATTTGGCAATTAACGTACTTCCGAGACTTCCAAATGGGAGGAGGCTGATTGATCACTGCACTTAAGAAGTTCGGTCTCTCCGGTTGGTTTTCTTGGTTGCAAGTTCTGGAAATGGGTTTAACTGGCAATCCACAGCGGGAGGAAAAAAAACAAGCGGTCCAGTAATTGAGGCTTTACGTTACATACCATAGAAACTTGCATTTGCTGCCTACATCAGTCAAAGAAATCCTCATGAAGTGAGCGCTATAAGAAGGCACACTTATTTGGTGCCGACCTGCTGCGCCTAGTCAGGTATTGAAGGGATTCAAAGATTGATTATGGCTAAGGAGCACCACGCAGACAGCTTGATGGGGAATGGCACAGCGGGTGTCAGATAGCCGTACACGTGGTTGACCAACAAGGTGGACACGCTCAGCGATCATCTAAGCAACCAATGATGATCAAACCAAAATGGAGACATATGCAAAGAGGGTAATATGTCTAGATTTGTTTTAGTACTTTAGTCCAAAGAAGACGTATGCCAGAAAACGCAGTGTATGGCAATATGAAATAACCGGCGTGGATATATAAGTGGTTAATCGCCGAAGGAACGTTGCAGAGGGTATGACTTCATGCGAGAAGTTCGTAGGCTACCAGGAGGACTCACAACTGCTACTGACCTATACGGAGGTTAAACAGGTGTACGGCAGGTGTGGATGGGGATCCGTGCCACAACTACTAAACCCGATCCCTTCTTCAGCCAGGTATACGCTGGTATATAGTGGGGTAGGGAGGAGAGCGGGATCGAGTCAACACGGGTTCAGCGCACGATGAGCTAAAAATCATGACTTAGAAAGTTGCCAGCCGAGAAACAGAAGGCCAGACTACAGTGGTTCTTTCTTAAAGCAGCCATGATAAAGAGGTTGCCTCAGCAAAGGATTCGATATCATTTTCTTGTAATCTGCGTATGCAGCATGCGAGGAAGGTGGTTTGGCATCACCAGCCCCTTTCCACCTCTAGTGGGCTTTACCTTACATTGCCCTTCAAACAAACTGAGTGCGGAGGGAGAGGGCGGGCTAGAGGCCGCGCAGGTCTCCCTCACACAAGTGACGGTTGACTCTCGGGGCATTAACGGTCCTCGTCGAGTATGACCGACGAACTACCAGACAAGCGGATGGGCAACTTCAAAAAAACAGGCAGGGGTGCTACACGAGATAAATGGTATGAGCATGTAAGTAGCGCAGTGGATAACCGCATGATCCAAGTAACGGGATTAAGCAACTGATTTGCCAGACCGGTCTTTTTTCCTGAAAAAAAAACAGCACAGAGTCACAGTACCTCACTCAAGTTACTGTTATTGGCTAAGCAATGTGATGAACAAGAAGAAGTAAAAGTTCCACTATACAACCGAAAGTAGCCCTGGCCACCTTCGTCAGGGGCGAAAATTCGTCGCAAGTGACACCTAATAGAAACCAGTTGCTGTCTTGCGTCCACATTCCTTACATGCACTATATAAACCCATCGGACTCCCTAGCAAGAGACAATTCGTATCATGGTTGTCCTGTGCCAATGGTGATTATTAAACTGGGTGGAAATGAAACTAAGAAACCTACACTGTTTTTCAATTAAGCAATGTCCTCTCTCAGTTTTTTAGTCCTTGACCAAGGACCAAATTGAACTTTACTATAAGAATAGTAGAACAGCAAAACTAGAAAACCAAAATAGGTGTTTCCGGCAGATAGCTATTTTCTATAGAATGAGGGGAATTGAAAGATCCTAAAACACCATGGCGTGAGCTGAACGTGACTTTCGAGAGTGCCGACCTAACCATCGAAATTCATATCTCATTGAACAAGCAGCCAAGCCCAACATGACAACAGAACAAAAAGCTCCTGGGGGGTTATTTCAAATTGATAAACCAACCAACCGACTGAAGACGACAAAATAATCCAGAACAGGGTAAATGTCGCCAAACGGATTAAATTTTGGTCAGGATGAACAGGAGAAATGCAAATTTATAAGAAATTCTCAATCACCTGGCTCTGTATCCTTCTCAGTGGGTTTCCTTACGGCAAGACCTTCGGGTGTAGAGACGATTTCAAGACCAGCTTCTATTCCAGTAGAGTTCGAAACAGGTAATTCCGGCTCTGGCATATCGTCATCGATATCGGCGGCGTTTCGAAAAACGATACTGGGTGGGAGAAAAGTGCGCAGAGGTCGTACAGAGCCATGAAGCTTCGCTTTTTCGCCCTCTACGAAGCATTCTGATATGTGAATAGATGGCCAGTCTGAGCGAATAGGCTTCTCCTGATCAAGAAATTCGTCAGGCATAGTGGTATGAGTCTTGATTACAACGGCTTCGCCTTCTATGATAAAATCTTTTAAAGACCAAGAGCCAGGGAACCTTCAGGGACTGGAAACTCCCAATTATTTTGCTGCAACGTGTTATATACAGAAATCGCGCCAGCATGCTGCAATGCGTTCAACGATTCCCCAGTCAAAAGCCCGTTTTCGCCTATCATCACCGCTTCTTCCGTGATGCACACATTTCCACAGTTAGCTAGTCGACTGACTGCCTCCAAAAAGGTTTGATATTCCCTAAAAATTAAGCGTTAGGCAGTTAAAAATCAGGATCTACTGTAGACGCGTCTGGTAAGCCTTTAACTGCGCATCTGATAGAGATTCGTCCTCGCAAAGGAGGGCCAGAGTTCGAAAGAACTTAGGCCGAATGTCTGTTCTGAACTGATGGGATTATAGTACGATGACTATAGAAAAGTTCATACTAACCATAATGTTCGACGATGAAAACGATCAATTTCCAGGGAAAGGTATCGACAACCCCGAGTCCGTTCAACTTTTCAAATAGTTTAACGATGTCAAAAATAACTAGAGAGGTCTAAACTATAGTTACTTGCGGTAGACAAACATACGGCAATCAGAACGAAGACTGTTTTAAACGACAGACGCCGTGTTCGAAAACACCGCGCCCGATCATTAAAAGAGAGGCTATGAAAGAGTGCAGTCAAACATACGAAAATGCTTAACAGAGAATGTTGACAGGTGATTGCCAATTATACCCACATGTGACATCTAACATGGATATTCTTGCTTTTTTAGCAATTCTGTTTTCTTGGTACTCCAACATTTTTGTTGTGACAAATTTTCTCAATCCGCCCATTTATGTCAGACTACGTCGCGATATTTGATGATTATGACTTTCGCCCTTGGTCCCCTATTCATATCCGAAGAACCACTAATGTCAGTTTTTATAACAGTCCTTTGGGAAGTTTTAGAGTCATCCGTAAGTGCGCGCTAAGCGCAAACTGCCACCACAGATAGAATCTGGATTATATGTAAGATAGATTTTCGACAATTAAGCATTTAATCTACATCTAGATGTTTCAGCGATCTCTGAAAGTGCTCTCATAGCAAGGAGTTCTTGCAGGTTCCAAAGGCCCTCTGCACGAAAACGTTCTACTGGAAGTCCACACGGTCCAACTTCTTCTGAAATTTAAAGAGATGACTTGAAGACGGCCCTTCCTAGTCAAATCGAAGATATCAGTGAATTTTATGACACACCACCGTGCTTTGACAACCAGGAAGATTTAAATGCGAGTACCTTTCAGCTGACTATAAGCTAGGGACAACGAAGCAAGTTCAACCAGTCTGTCTTTGTATGAGAGAATGCCAAGCTTCTTCCCCATCTTTGCAGCCCTCACCGGCATTTCCCAGGCAGCTGATAATCCCTCTTGTGCAACGGACGCCAGAACTGTACGGCGTACTCAAAATGAAGCCGAAGAATGCCATTTAGGTTTGACTTAACAGTTCTGCGCCCCTCGCACCTCGAATAGCACTTGCATCGCCTTTCATCTGTCTTTAAACGGGACGTCAGTAGAATGCCGAGGTCCCTGACTGGTCAATAATTATTGGTGCTCGTTCGAACCGCACCCTTATGTACTGGAGACATGCTTGTTGTTTTCCAATCGGGTGACAGTTTTTTCAATTAAGATGACAGACGGACGATATGCGCTAGTGGTCTGGGGAATTCCCATGTCAATTCTTTTATGATCTTCGGCACTATATTGACATGACCCAGTGGTTTAACTTCTTTGAGAGTTTGCAGCGCTCTTTTCACGAGAGCTAGTGGAAAGAGTATTGATACAAGTGCTAGACCGGTGTTTGCAATAGGAGTGATGAGGGTATTGATATGAAGCTTCGGTCTCCTCGAACTGTCGACCAAGTACTGCGACTGGGTTCTTGCTTTTTAGTCGACTGTCAATTTGGTGAAATAGTCTTGGGCCTTTGTTCAGCCCGCCAGATAATTCAAGATTCATGGTCCTTCCTTGCCTGGCGGATACATGTTTCTGCCGCATTTGGTCTGCGATGAAACTTCTCGAGATGTTTCGGCGACCCATTTTCCCGCAATATCTTCTAAGTTTTATTTTTCTTCTCCAAATACTTATTAAAGTCTCTAGTTAACCAGGCTGGACAACTAGTCGTTTTTATACCTTCACTGGACAGCAGCACCGAAAAAGATGCGGCAAAATCATCTTAAACAATCCTCAATTGTCCTCTGGATCCCCCATAAGCGAACTGTTAGGACGGCCCAGAGCACGACGCACCGTTCCTGTCGTCCGGAGGTCACGCCTGACAAAGGACCGCAAACTTGCCGCACAGCCTCGCCTAGGAAGCCCGTATGCGAGCCAGACATTATCACGCCGCTGAGTCATGCGCGACCTCCAGGGGTCAGCAACACGCGACGGCCTGCCCATGCGGGCACTCCGGACTGGACCAATAGGAACACGCAAACCAGACGAAGGCTGAACCCTTAAATACGAAGCCACGGACGGAAGGATTTAGAGTTGATGTACACAGGGTGACTGACGCAGTAAGGCTGTTCTATCCTATCCTGTATGTCTTCTATTCCGCACAGAACTGTCGTCATACTAATTGGGGGATATAAGACGAACGGTCCCAATTCATGAGATCATTCGTTTTTATCATATTAAAATCTGCTTTCCATATGTTTATCTGACCTTGTATCCTTGTATCGATTATTCGTCATCCAATATTTTGGTTTTGAGCCATATTTCCGTTATGGCGAGGACATCAGCGTTTCCCATGAAACTAGCACCTTGAATTCGGTGATTTTTGAAATAAGACATTAAGCACTAGTATACAGAAAAGCCTCAATCTGGCCTGAACACTCCCATTATCCAAGCGTCTGCCAAAAGACGTCTGCCTATAAGTTTTGGCTTTCTGGCGAGCTACATGTGTAACCAGTCCAGAGAGAAAAACCGCGAAGAATATCATGTTACATGTATAAGCAACGAGTAGAGATAACTTTGCAAGCACTCTAGACTGCACAATATTTTTTGCAACTATTATGCAATGTTTTTACGACGATTTATGGTAGGATATATCAGATGGCCCTCTCGAGTTCGGCTGGCACAAAGTGTTTGAATAAATTGCTACTTCTTCCACTATCTCCCACTTCCTTCCAAAGCGAGTAAAAAAAGTTACGGAAAGACCTTTGGAATCCGTATGTAGACTTCTTATCTGTTCACTTAAAGCTTATCAAAGAATATGAATAAACATCAAAGATCTGAATTGCACGTGATAGGTGAAGGGATTCCTTAGCTACTAGTAATTCGAATCCTTTACATAGTCACATGCGACGAGCAAGTAACTGTCTGCATGACGTTAAAAACACGGGCAAATACAGATAGTATGGGCACATATAATTACGGAGTGCATTGCTTAGTTGTTTGACTGGCGAATGAGAAACTTGATGCGTGTCGGACAACATGAGCGGGCAGAGCGTTCCACGCTGCAACTACTTTGGTACGGAAGAAAAACTTGCGTCCATCAATCCTAGCTTTCCTTTTACATTGTCTGAAGGGATGACCGTGCAACGTACGTATGATAGCCTGAGTAAAAAAAGACACTGGGAACAAGGCGACGGCCCAGGCCATACATACTTCGGAGAATTGGTTGGAGATCCCTCTTAGCTGCTGTGGAAAAGGGGAAAGAGATTGAGTCGACCGTCTGATTTCATACGGCAGTGCCCCCGAGACCTCTGACCATCTTTGTCACCTGCCTGTGAGCCTTTCCCAAGACAGTACGGCCTAAGGTCTACATACCTGTATAATGTATTCCAGATGGAGTCGCACGATGGCTCCAAAGAGTTTGGAGAAATTGTCACCGTCAGGCCCCTAAAGACTCGCTTGATGAGTTGAAACATATATATGTTCCACCATGGTGTGGGAAGCACGGTGGACATCGTCGGAAACGTTGATCGAACTGTCGGCAGAGGTGTGTAAATGTAAAATACGGGGAATGGATGACGTACGGTTGTTTCCATAAATATTTTTCTCAATTCTAAAACACAATGAACAATATGGTCTGCGAGTAATGGTGGAATCCGTGGATGGGCAGTCGTCATGAATTCTAAAAGCGTGGCCAAAGGAGATACTGTAGCTCTTGCTATAAGATGAACGCACGATCACTGAAACAGTAGATTTATTACTCTGGGCCTCCGAATTCGTACGGCAGTTCAGCACCTGTGACCGTGTGCGTACAGTAACAAGTGAGTACATTAATTTTACCAATACTCATGGGCTTTCTACTTCACTTAACCTTGGTTCTCAATCTGCGATTTTTATAAAATTATAATTTTCCCGTGCCGTATAAAGACACCGTAGCCCAATATGCCATATTCTCTACCTTTTGTAGATTGTTAGGGATGTTGTCGTAAAAATGGTAGACCCGGGACTTAGTCCTCATTCTTGTCGTACACTGTAACATGCCAAATTCTGATTGAACATCTTTTTACTCACCTGCGTAAATCAGGACCGCTAAATAATTTCACATATTTAGTGTGTTCTTTGTCAGTGGGCTGCCTTTTTATCCCAACTAACTATCAACAATTCGACTGCCACTACTAACAATGTCCACCATGTGCCCCTTAGCAGGGTGGGCGCAGGGACGGTGACTTGGGCGTGAACTCGCTTATGATGATGACGATAATAGGCTTGGGCCGCTTCTAACGCCTTCTCTCCCCCCTCAGCCATCCAAGCCCGATGTCACAACAGACTCGAAAGGACTGGAGGTGAGGTCGGACACTGGTAGCTGACGTGGCGTGAGACTGCTACAACCCCAATGTAGGGCATTTGTTATGGGTGCGTAGACCCGCAGCGCGTGCTAAGCCCTGATCTGGCCGCCATGTTGGTGCGACGAAAATTCCGCGTGGGGCAGATCGGAAGAGGCAAGCCCCATTGTACTTCAAGTCCTATCCATGCACATTAAAAATATGCAGTGGCGCTGTTTGACACAGCTCAAGACGGAATATTTCTTGCCACCAGATCTGCTATAATGCAGTGAAGATACTCCCTGTAGGTTGGACTGCAATTAAGATCTGACTACAGTCTTGTCCTACTTTGGTGTCTTAGATTACGACTTCACCAGTGTGAACTTTGTCTCCAGCTCCAACTTTGGTTTAAAAAGTTGCTTGGTCAGATTAAACCTCCTAAATTCAGTCAAACTCCTACTTTTATTAATGATATTAGCCCGTTTGCTGAAGGAAGTTGACTGTGCTGCTCACTCGAGTATCTAGACGGTTTTCTAAAATAGGTAAGCTGGTACAAGATCTCGGTTCTGCAGATGTTCCAAAGGGGCACTGGTTCACATTTATTGCTCACAGACAAAACTTAAAATTATGTAGGCTGAAAAGAGGATGCTTCCTGTCTCAGACATGGGATTATGGGATTGGACGGAGATGAGGATCAAAG